AGTTGTGTAACTGATCATGGCTTGTAGCTGGTGTGGGCTACAGGATAGCAAGTTTTATATAACATGATGAAAATGCAGGTCAAGAAGCGTGAATCACCCTGCAGCATGGACAGGTGGCTTTTTTTCCATTCAGTAAATATCGTATTTAATTGTTTTTTAAATCTAAATCTAGAATTGGAGTGAAAAAATGAAAATGTATAGAATTAAGTCGTCATGAACAAACAGCTATTGTTTTTTTCCATGTGCAAGAAAGAAGGGTTAAATCTAAAGTGATCCATGATGGCCCTCTCCTGGTAGATTCCAGAACTGCTCAATAATTTCTAAGCCAGGATCTCACCAACACTTTGCTTGTGTAAACCTTCCCCACATCAATACAGAGCTGTTCTGAGTATGTGCATGCTGAGATCCAGTGGAGCAGAAACTGGTGAACGGACCAGCTGTTAGGAGTGGGCAGTGCCAGTTTGTGCTGAGCAGTTGGCAGGCCTGCTGGAATCGGAGCAAATGTGTAACTCAGTCCAGCTTTTTGTCACAGTCTAACCCTCCACAGAAGGTAAAAAAAAAAAAAATAAATAAATAAAAATGACAGTGTTATCAGATTTTCTATGCATCAGCTGCCTGTAGTAATATTCACATAGATTTGAAATCTTTTTAATTTTATTAAGTAATCCTTTTTCCAAATTCTCTGGAGGAAAAAAAGTCTAATTGAATATATTAAAGAGATCAAGATCTGGGCTGTGATTCTGGGGAGGACTTTCCAGAGTCTTAATTCTCAGCCTGTCCTTGGTGGGTTTATTGCTGAGTGTTGGGTTGTTGTCAAGTTGCAGGATCTAGTTCTGTTTCAGCTATTATTTTTCCATATGATATTCATTATTTCCCCACTTCTTTTTCTTCCTAACCCTTCCTAACGGATGGTGTAACAGTCTCCTCCATTCCCCTATGATACATGGAATTCAGGGTGGATATTTTATGTTGAACTGGACAGATCCGGATGCAGGCAAAGCGTCTCCAAACCAAACTCATCACCCTTCATGCTTTATAACTTGTATAAGTTTCCTTTTTGGAAATAGTTTGTGGCAAATCTGTCCTCTCTTCTGGTGCCCAAGATTTTCAGTTTCAAACCAATTTTTGCTCCTAACTCAATCAGAGGTGTAGCCAGAACATTTTTATAAGGGGGGCCAGGCGATAACCAATGTACACTGAGGGGTGGCCGAAAGTGGATAGGCACCAAAACCTCACGGTCAATCTTTATTGTTCCAACAGGAAAATGAACGAGCAAAACATCCATATTTCTAAATAAAGACAAACTGTACTTTCCCATAGCCTTTGCTAACAGATAGACAAATATATTCAGATATTTATGCTTTCTACATAAAAGGTATAGTGGATAAAATTCTTTCAGGTTTGAGTTTTGGGTGAACATCTTTTCCATTGTCATTACTTACCTACTTTTATCAGTATTTATTCTGCATAAGATATTTACAAATACTAATATCTACATAAATTGATAATTTAATCAGTTTTTATTAAAATAGTTATTTATCTATGATTTCACTGAAGACTCCTAGATGATTTGCAGAGACACATAATTTTCTCTTTACCCCATAAAACCCTGAATCTAGTTCTGAAAGGAGCAGGAATTCTGTATTTTTTTTTATCTTTAATGTTAGTATATTGATGTGCACAATTAACCAAAGTGTTTTTGTTGTCAAGTAATTGTTAATATATGGAAAATGAAAATGTTTTGCCACCATCTGTATAAGAGGGAAATAAATGGTAGGGGTGGCCAATGATTGGCTAAGGGTGGCCATGGCCACCCCTGGCCCCCCATCTAGCTCCGCCTCTGAACTCAGTTCCAGAAATGAAGGTTCTCCATGCGAAGACTGACTTTAACCTTCAGAGACCAAACATTTATTTTCTTAGACATCTCCCATAAAGTTTGCATCAACAGAAAAAGAGCTTAAGTTTAAAAAATATACTTTTAGCAGAGCGTGAGTCTGTATGGATTAACTGACACAGCTGATAAATATCAGTCTGTTAGAAAATCCTGTTATATGTCCACATTATACTCTCAACATGATCCCATCTCTTTTGTGAAGTGCATCATTCCTTCCTGCAGCAAAACAAACACTATTACTATTACTAGCATCCTTTACTTTTTCACAGCTAGGAGGATGTTTTTAAAATTGCAAGCTTCGTAACTGCATTGTCCCCCATTACACCAAGTGGTCTCTCAGTCAATTTTTTATTTCACTTATAAAATTTTCACACCTCCACTAGGTTCAGTCAGATTTTTGCTAGGTCTTTTGCCTTTGATGAGGTTGATACACATTTTGTGTAGTAAGTCTATTATGGAACAGAATTCATCTATTCTAAATGGCGTGATGGGTTGACATTCCTGTAGCATTTACAGCAACATAGCTGTTTGTCACATGAACACTGAAACTTTTATCAAAATAAACCTAAAGAACTGTTAATGTTCTGATTCTTCTATGATTTCAGTCATTAAAGCAGTCAATAAGGTGTTTTCCATGGCGTGGCTCTATTTAACACAAACATTGATGGTTAAAGCTCATTAAGCTATGCTGGCATGTGGTTTTTTCCCAAATTTTGAAACTGGAACAAAATACAATATTTTTCTTTTACTCTGGGGTTTAGAAACAGAATTTTGCCCATTTTAGTACTCTTAACAAACTTTCAACGACAATGTGAACAAATAAAGAAAACAAAAACATACTTCTATACAACATGAAATTATCTGGTTTTGACAGTTTGCTCGAAAATCTGTAGTCAAATAAATACATAAGTCCCACTAACTAAAGTAAAATACTAAAATATTTTTTTTTGAGGATAGCCCAAGATATTGGAATGCACTAATGTAAAACATAATAAAAGAGCAATTAAAGAATATAAAACCCAGAGTAACCTTTTAGGTAAATTTTAATATTCAAGAAGTAAGACACTGTTTCTATAAAATGACTAAGTGGTAAGAAGGTAAGTAAGCTTTATTTATTTAGCACCTTTCAAAACCAAAGCCACAAAGTGCTTCACAACAGTTTAAAAACGTCAGAAATCATACAAGAGGCCAAGAGAGTAAGAAATCATAGCAGCACAAAAGGTAGTTAATTAAAAGCCTGTACAAATAAAAGGGTCTTCAGTAAGTTCTTTATCAAGATTTATCTTGTCTTGGCAAAATATTTGAAGGCAAAACTGCATTCCAAGGCACACATACACGCAGTCCAAGCGCGAAAAGTAATCACATCCTTTTTAGCCCTGCAGTACATAGCCTAATAGTGATGAAAAAACAGATGTGAAGGTGATAAAACAAAGCTACCATTAGGAGCCTTTTCCAGTTTGGGACCCAGGTAATAACTCTGACACCATATACCTTAAAAGCAACAAGATAGTAGTTTGCAGGGTCCTTATAAGACACTCTATTTGATACAAAAATGTACGGTCACTAACTAAAAAAATACAAATTCTTCTACTAAGATAGAATATATATAGTCATGCACAAAATACTGAGAAAATAGCAATGCACAAACTTTCCCACAACAATCCGTTGAACAGGAAACGCTGTACAGAGGTGCATTTCAATATCAACAGCATGCTCTTAACATGACTCTAAATAATTATCAAATACAGGCCACGAATAAACCTAATAACAGAGTATATCAAGTCAATGTTTGCAAGACTGCAGTAGAAACATTTTTAATGACTCTTAAAGAACTACATACGGTGATAAAATTGTGGCAGGATCATTCTGTAACAGGTGGGTTGCCAGTTGGAGCCCCTCACTCCATCTGTCTCTATTGCTGTGACCATGGGCACCACTTCACCCGCCTGTCTTCCAACCATCAGTGTATCATGATGGATGAATAACAGAGAATAGTTTTACCAGGTTTTTCAAGCATCTTTAACAAGTGAATATTCAGGTGAATGTCCTCCCACAGTCTTGGTCTGGACATGCAGAGAGTGGCAGATGTCACTAAATAGCGTGGATTTAGGTGCCTATTGGCTAAGAATTTCCTGAACTATAGAAGAAAAAACTGTATGTAAAAACATCAGAGGTTTTCTCAAACCTAAACTAACATTAGACGTTTAGACAATGTCCAATGAACATCATGTTAAACACCTTCTAATGTTTAGTGAATGTGGACAGCAATCATCTTTAGATAAATTACTAAAATGGCAGAAATGTTCTCTGAAAAGCTACGTTTCTTTGAAGAGTTATACTCTATTATACTTAAATAAGATTTTTTTTAATTATTCACAGCCGCTTAGAAAATAACCAGAACAATTTGCTGCCTTTTTAAAGAATCAGCATGTTAGAAAAAAGAATAATTCTTGTGAAAATGTTTTCTTATTCACTTTTTGAGGTGATAACATATCTTATGTTATTCAATTTCAATGCAAAAGTCAGGTAATTCCATTATGGCCTTTTTTCTGATTTCTTTTTAGCAATGGTGTCCTCCTTGGTCGTCTACAGTCCAATGGATCTTACATTTTTTAAATAATGAAACAGTAATCTGCTTAGAGATGGTCTTATAGCCTTTATGTTTAACATGTTTGTCTATGATTTTCTTTCCAATCTCCTGAGACGACTCCTTCCTTTGGTTCCTGTGGTCCCTATTGAGTGTGATGCATACCATGTCACCCAACAGCACAGCGACTACCTGTAGCCCTTGTTAAAACGAAGTAACAAGAGATTCTGTTGCTATGACACCTCCGCCGAAATTTCGTTTACATACTATGCATACAAAATTACAATAAAGGTTGTTGGGAGTTGGAGATTGTATTAAAACATTTATTTATTAAGGGATATCAAAGATAGAATACAATGCCTACTTTTCCCTTTAGGCTTTCATGAGTCTGCAGCATTCTTAGTTACCTCATCTCACAAGATGGTGTTGCACATGCAGCAGCCCATTACGTCAGCTCTTTCCTTTTTTTTCTTTTTGATAGTGTTCTTTGATATCTAGTGTGGGTGCTTTCTTGTACAAGCATGAACATGGGAAGCCAATTTTTTGGGACTGTGGTGCTGAGATTACTTTTGGCATTTTTCTATTCTGCATGGAGGATCGCTTTGTCAAAGACACTATGCATGGTTGCCCAGCTAGCCACTATGCTGAGAGACCAGACATCCCTGCAGAAATATGAAGAAGATGGAGAGACTGCAGAGGTGGCAGGATGAAGCGGAGAAAAACTTATTTACCTTCTGTTGTCATGGGAAACATAAGATCTAGCCGCAAATGGCAGAGGAGCTTGTGGCGCTATTTCCAGAGAGAGTACAGGGACGCTTGTATTGTGTGGTTCACGGAGACGTGGTTTGATGAACTTTTTCCCAGACTCATTAGTTTCCCTGAATGGTTTTAAACTCATCTGCACGGACAGGAATTTGGCAGAGAGCAGAAAGAAGAGAGGAGTGGGCTGGTGGTGTTTGCAAGGGAGAGATGGTGTAACGTGGCTCATGTTCACATGAGGAAACAGATGTGCTCCTAGATGTTGAGGTACTCAAGGTTGGCATGGGGCAATGCTATCTCCTATGGGAGTTTGAATGTGTGATAATGCTCTGTGTTTACATCCCTCCTACCACTGGTAACAGACTTGGTAGTCTCAAAGTTCACAGTTCTTCAAACAATGGTACATTTTACAGTTTGATATGCTTTGCAATACACAGTCATGATTACATATTTGTGATTAATCCTCATGAGCAAATATATTTTCCACAGCCTCTCTACAGGCCTGCTGGCTGGTTAGAAGATTGTAGTAGACAGATGCTAATTAGAGGAAACACCTTGATTTACCCTATCCCTTTGGTCACATTTTCAGTCTTTTTTCTTGGGGCCAGGTACGTTTCATGACTTCATTTGTTAGTTTCATTCCATTGAAACATGGTAGAAAAGAAATATCCGACTTCCATTTTCCATAGAATGTGTTTTTATGATTACCTTTGTCGAATTCAGGTTATTTCTGTCACCATTTTGGGTTGAGTTAAACTTGAACTACAGACAACTTTGTTCTAGTGTATATAATCTATGGTTAAAGCATAGATAGACCTTAACATTACATTTCTATAAAGTAGATCTAAAACATTCATATATAATTTATTAATTTTTTTTGAAAAATATTTTTACAAAAATAAAAAAAAACAGTTAGGCAGTCATTAAAAAAAAAAACTTTTCAAGATCATGTTTGAGCACTTTACACAAAAAGAGTAATAAATGCGTAACAAGGATTAAGTCAGTGGTCTTCTGAACTGGAGTCAGTGGAGTTGCTTGTGTCAGAATCCGATAAACTGCTGCTTGTGCTGATGTACTTAGAGGTACTTCGGGAGGAGTTTCCTGGAGAAAGCAAAGAAAACAAGACATTATAATGGATCATATATATTCATAACCCTCCAACTATTCTAGCTGAGTACTCATGCAAATAGAGGCAGATGTCAGGGTGGGAATGGGATGCAATCGGGTGCTCATCACAATAAGAAATAAACATGTATTCATAAATCAAACAAAACATTAATGGTGAATAGCAAAATGGAGAGGCTGGCTTAGCATGCCACTCCTGTGAACTTAAGGCATGGCTTCTGAATAGATTAATTTATTGTCCATTGCGCAGATATTGGCAGATACAAATACAAGAGAAAAGAAAGCTAATATCAGCCAAAAATATCAGCTGTCATATTCATCAGTTTATCTCCACAATTCAACCTCTTATGCTACTTTCACACCAGACACGATTAAAGCAGCTGGGTACCCTGCAAAGTAAATGGTTGATGCGTAGAAAGGCGCATCAAAACGTCCCGACCACGTCCCGAGCGGCAGAAACAGCGCATCTTGATCCAAATGAGCAGCTTAAGCATCATCTCATGAGCATCTGAGGCGTGTGACGCACTTCACAAGCAGCAGTTGCTGGAGTTGGAAAATTATAACTTCAGCTGCTCGACACGCCATATCAACCAATCAGAGAAGCTAATGTAGGAGCTGGCAGGGAGAAAGACAGTACTGCTGATGCAGAGAGCTATGATCACTCCTCTGAAACTGTTTATTATTGCCTAAATTAACTTAAAATGACGAAACCTGTTGGCAAAATATGGTCCATTTTATTATTCTGGTGCCTGCAGTGTGTACCACCTGAAAAACGCTAACATCTACTTCTAGCTGCGACGAACACGAACAGAAACCCCACTACCTGATGCTGGAAATTCCCAGTGCACCGCCCGTATG